GGCCCAGTCCCCATGTAATCTGGGTTGGGCTGGGCTTAGAAGCCGGATCCAGCTGCGGCTCTCTTCTGACTGTCTCCAGCAAGGCCTTGGACTGACCTGGGCTCTGGGCCCACAGGACAAGGGACTAGATTTCCCTGTCAGATTGGTACAAACTCCAGGGACCCAGGATCACCAGTTCTGGCAGAACTAAACCATCAGAAAGAAAGCAGCCTTCTTTACCCACTTTGATTCTGACCACATTCTTGAACTTAATGAGTCGGTGGCCCTTTGAGGGTGAAAGATATTTGCTTTAGGATCTTTGTTCTGCTACTTTCCTATGAGATTGTCAACAGCTGGTTAAATGTGAGAGCTAGAAATGTTGTGGAAAGGCAAAGAGCCTCAGTCTCTTCTCTCTTGTTCTTTGTCTCCCCAAGCATCTACTGCCTAATGCTGAAATTTGGCCTGGCTGGGAAACTCTTGTCCTCCGTGATGCTCATTTGGAAGGAGCAGTGTCTGGACAGCATACCTTTGTCTTCTGGCTGATTCTAGAGAAACTGAGGATATTGGTCCAGATTTTCACATCTGGATGCTCTTCCTTTATACCCTCCTCCACTGTGGCTTTCAAGTCCAGGTTCACTTTAGTTCCTAGGAGGTGTCCTGCACACCACAGAGATGGCATGGATAAGAAGAGATGAGACCACGTTCTGGGGAAGGACGCCATGCCAGACAATGCTGGGGGGGTGCTCCACAGTCGTCTCTCAGCTGGGCAGCAACCAGGATCCCTCTTTGGCCAAAGACAGGGAGGGCAGGCACTTCAGGAGACTTAGAAAAGTGGATCTTAGATGTCAGTGTTGGGGGAGAATTACAGGTCAGCAAGTAACCACCCGTTTGATGTTGAATTCCCACCTTTACTATCCTTCCCTAGTACAGGAGGTGCTTGAATAGCCTGTATTAATCTGGATATTCTGAGAAGCAGATGTCATGCAAAGATTAAATGTGTAAGGATTTTATTAGTGAAATTTCCTGAATAAAAGAAATAGGAAGGGAGCCAGAGAAGGCTAGGAGAGCATCACCAAGATGCAATTCTGACCCTGAGTGAAGGACAGAGGGAGCAGATGGGGTGAAAACATCCTAGATGGTCATACAGTTCAAAGAAGCTTCAGCAAAGCCTTCAGGGGGTCATGAGTCCAGAATAGGCTGGCAAAGGAGTCCCCATGTTTCCCTGGAATGGGTCTGCTTTAGTCTCCCTGCCACAGGTGGTCACTAGCAGGGAGCAGCCTACAAGAGGCATGTCCTCAGCACAGATGCAGCGATGGGATTTGTCCCCGCCCCCACTGCCTCCCCAGGTCACCATGGGTTCAACAGTCTGAGCTGCCCTGCTTCAGCCTAACACCATCCCAGAGCAGAGGAGGGAGGACAACCAGACATCTGAGTGCAGCTAGACCAGAGCAGAGGAGACGGGCCAAGTCTGGAAAGGAGGAAGCTGCAGAAACTCAAGCCCGCCTCCCATAGACATTTGGGGCAACCATTTGACCAGTGCTGAAGGCCACGGATCTCAAGGCTCAGCTGAGCTAGTCCTGGTTGAAAGAAGGCTGTGTGCTGGGTCAACAGAATTTCATTTTAACCCAAAAGGTTAGCTCTGCTTATGTTAAAAACACAATCAGTACAAGCGCTCGGAAATTCTTCCCTGAAATCCATTCCCAATTTTCACCTAGCCCCAACTGATATATTTAAATAAATAAATGCTGATCCGAATTTAGGGGGTGGATTTCCAATGGGAAGTGATGATTTGAAATGCCAACTGCTTCCCGATCACATTGTTTCCCTCCTTCTTTGTAAAAATAGTAGTTCTATGACAGTTGAAAATGGCCCTTTTGGAAAACCTTGAGGAAATGGCTTAAAAACACCATAAAATGGTACAGTTCCATAGAAATTCTTAGTGACACTATACAGCAATGACAGTATTGAGCTTATTTAATTCATACATAACTACTTGTAACATAATATCCTAGTTTTACCCCCACTCTTAAACGACACTTACACACAAAACCACACTTACACACAAAACAAAACTACACTTACACACAAAACTTTTTTTTTTAAGTTCAATATATAAAAATCTTAATATGCCAAACAGAGTAAATATTATATTCCTTAATATTGCCTTAGTTCACAAAGTATTCTTTTTAATTGGGCAGATCCCCCATAACTTTTATGTCTTATTTTCATTATCTTTTGTTGTGTGGGGGTTTTTTTTTAAGCCATAAAAAGTGCATATTGGTTGTGTCAAATGCAAACAATGCAAAAATGTAGAAGAAACTGTCCCTTTCCGGCGTTTATCCCGAGAGCCACTCTCTAACGGCAGCCATAGTTCAATGTTAGGATTTAGCTGTCCAATCTTTTTCTATACCTATAGTATACAGAAATCAAAATATACGAATATATACACACATACGAACACTTTTTTAAAACAAAAATGGGATTATCCGTGTCACACAACGTGGTCTGTTTCCTTAATATTCCATGGTCGCCTTCCCTCTTCCGTGTAGAACAGCTCCACCTCATGCTCTTCAAAAGCTTCGTAAGACCTGTACCACTATTGATTTAATCGGTTTCATATTGCTAAACATTTAGGCTTTTCCCAAACTGCCATCATTACAAGATGCTCCAATGAACACACTTGTAATAGGTTGAATCATTTGAAATGGCTGCTTTTGCAGATCAAAATGGCTGAATTGCAGTAACTTCATATGGTTCACACTATCCATTTGTATTTCTACAGAATACGCTTCTTGAAGTGGAATTGGTAAGTCAAAGCATATGTGCATTTTTAAAAATTTTGTAGCTATCACTACACTGCCCACATAATTTATGCTATGTTCATTTCCCCATGCTCTTGACAATAATAAAAGCTTTTAATCTTTTTCGTTTTCCCGAGCAAATTACACCTCAGTGTTTTGATTTGCTTTTCTTTCGTTATTATTGAAAATACTGAACATCTATTGGTATGCAGTTTGCTCCCATAGCATTTAAAATACCATTTGATTCTCATACAACTCTCCAGCCACACTCTTATGAGAGAGAGAGAGAGAGAGAGAGAGAGAGAGAGAGAGAGAGAGAGAGAGAGAGAGAGAGTGGAGAGAGAATATCTAACCTGTTTTTGAAAAAAATCAAAGAATATATGCCTATCATTAAAAAGACCTCTTTTAGGGAGCTGGAATGAATTATTTTTCTGCCTTCAAATTTCTATTTGTTTCTATTATGGATACACAGGTATGTATTGTTTTTACCCAGAGTGAACTCCTTTGACCTGTTTTCTGCTCTCTGAATTTGAAACACTTGGATAATCCTCTGGGCTTTGGCCCTGAGAAGCAGACCATAGGATCTCAGCAAGGCTGATAGGCTTTGCAGCCGTGTGCCCTGCCTGCCAGCAGGGGGCCTCTCCAGCCCTTAAAGGCCTCCTGGCCAGAGCTCCATTTTCTCCACAACAAGCTTCATCTTTCTCCCCAACACAGAGGCAACTGCTGGCTTCTGCTTAGGCAGACTAATTTACTGAATTAAAGTCGTTTGGCTTCCACCATAGCAATTAGTATGCAAATTACCGGTATATTACCTGCCGAGTCATAAATTACATTGACAAACTTAATATTCACAGATTCAACAGACCAGTGTAGGTAATTTTTCTATTTTTCAGTAGTTATAGACCCGGGTGATGCATCGCCTTATTGAACCATTGCACATTAAATCAACAGTTGAAAAATTAAGCATTTTTCAAAGCATTTTGTTATGCATTTATTTCTTACAGCACGCAGTAAAGTGGAACATTAAATATGCAATGTATCTGAGTGTTCTAAATGGCTGTTTTAAGCCTAAAACAGTTCTTTTGTAACTTAAAAAAAGAGACACAGCAAAGGAAAATCTATATCATAATGCAATCTATACTGCTGCTGCTTCACCATCATTAGAACCAAATATTTCCAAGTCCAGGTTCCTGTAAATGTGAAGAATCATTAAGCCCCAATATACGTTTCAAGCTAATGCTGCTCACAACTGGAAAGTGACTGGTCAATAGGATTCAAGCTTCATAAAGCCACCAAGGTGTGCAGCTATGGCGGAGGATTTGAGCTTTGGTCATTAACTCATTAAATCAATTATACCTCCCTTTTAATTTTGTTTGTTTGTTTGTTTTGAGTACATAAATTACTGAGATTTAAGACTGGGAAAGGGTGGGGCAAATCCAAATGGGGGTTGGGCAGGTCAAGTCCAAGCACACCAACACAGTCCTTCCTTCATTCGCCCAAGAAGCAACCTGAGCCTAAGTTCTGTGCTAGGTGAGTGGAATGAATCCTGTCCCCAGGGGCACTTAAGGATCAGTAGTGTCAAAGTATCTTATCTTAGCTCTGTACCTACTCATGAAACAGTAGGGGGAACAGTAATCATTGAAGAATCTTGGGGACTTTCCTGGCACAGAATTCCTTCCCCTAGTTCCCCTCTGCATGCCCTGACAAAATAATACTACCTTTGTTTTAAGATTCTAACCTGACTACTAAGGCGATCAAAGGACATATGCATTGATCATCAAGCAAAGAGGTCTGAGAAAGGTTATTATAGTTAGTTAACAGAAATATACTGAGAGAGACCTATTCACAGATGTGTGGATAATGCCAAATTGTAAATAAAACCTTGTGGCTGATATCTTTCTATTGGGTGATTAATTTTGCAAAGGATTTGGTTTGCACAGAGAATATTTTCTTTCAAATCAAACAAAAATGTCCCCTGTGGAGATAGTGTGATGGTTAATCTTAAATATCAACTTGATTGGGTCCCAGGATGCCCAGATAGCTGGTTAAACATTATTTCTGGATGTGTCTGTGAAGGTATTTTCAGAAGAGATTAGCATTTGAACTGGTGGACTGACTAAAGTAGATGGCCCTCCCCAGTGTGGGTGGGCATCATCCAATCCAATGAAGGTCTGGCTACAACAAAAGTAAAAGGAAGGAGGCCTTTGCTCTCTGCCTTACCGTTTTAGCTGGGATGTCAGTTTTCTCCTCCCATTGGTGCTGCTGGTTCCCAGGATTTCAGACTCAGACTGGAATCTATACCATAGGCTCTCTGGTTCTCAGGCCTTCAAACTGCACTACTGGCTTTCCTGGGTCTCCAGCTTGCAGACAGAAATAAGTGGAAAAGACCCTCCTAGAAAGAAGAAGGATAATGATATAAACAAGAGAAAAATATGAAAGTATGCATTTAATATTTTCCTCCTCCTTTCCACAGTCAGTCAAAAACTACAGACCATGGAGAGAGACATAAAAAGAACAGGCTTATACCAACCACAAACAATAATGTTCCTGTGCATAGATTGGAAGCTGAGGGTATTTGGGCTGTTACCACATCAAATCTCACCATGAGCTGTGCTTTGTGACTTCACCTAGAGGTAAAAGATGGGGAACTACCATCTTTCTTAACAGGAAAGAAGTATCTGCTACCTGCATTGGCTCCCAAGATTGTGTCTCAGCCTAGTGTAACCTGGGGTCATTATCATCGTTTCAACTTTTACTTCAAGGGGGGAAACAAATCCATGACCTGGCACCTGAGATGCCATTTCCTCAGGAGTTTAGGTCCATTGCCAAGTGTCCCGGGCGGGCCTTCAGATCTTGCCAGTTCTAAGGTGAACTAGGAGGTTGCCAAGTTCCAGGATGGAGCCCAGTTTTCCCTGCTCCCTCTCGGAGAAGCAGACTCACAGCCTCGCAAAGATGTGGTTGCATGCTAGAACTGACCTCAAATGGCAGTGACCCAGACTGCTGGGAGGAGGTAGTGATTCAACACACCCAAAGTGTTGATAATCATTTGTAAATAGTAGGAAAAAAATTTTTCCCCATTTTTCTATCTTTACATGTAGAACGAGCACAAATTTTGAAAACTGAAAAGAAATAAATGGAGTATATATGTTGTAAATACATACATATATATATGAATAAATTTTCCTACTCTTTGTGGAGACAAATTAATTTTATTATCTAGGAGTTTCTGTCCCTTGATCTTGGCCTTGCTTACCTGCTGTGTCATTGATGAAAGGACAGAATAGTGAAAGGAATATTTTCACTTTCTCTGTTTGGTCATGGAGTTGGATTACAGTCACATGGCTCTAGAACTGTGGAACCAGCGGATATATATTTTTAGAGGCAACTGGCAAAGTATACATGGAAAAGAGGTCAAAAGTGATAGAGGCAAAGCATAGGCAACTCACAGCCACTTCCTTTCTTAGTGTCATCTTACTTTGCAAGTGTTAACTGTGTAAGCATTTCTTAACTCCCTTTAGACATAGGAAAACAAGGCAGGCAGTGATCAAGTGACTCATTTGAGTCAACCCCTCAAGTTACTACCAATGGTTGAGAATTCAGCCCTCCTAACTTCAAATCTATCCTCCTGCCTGGACTCACAGCCATTTCCAGAAATGGAGAGTGATTTAACCTAAGTGACCCATTCATTTAATGTCACATACTTCATTAGAGAGGCCAGATAGCATCACGGTAAGGAAGCTTTGGGTATTCACCCAAGGAAATAAACCTTTAAACAAATACATACAAACATACATGCATATATACATACACTCATGTATACAGTTGTTTTTTTTTATATGTACACACACATATATACACAACGAATAAACAGCAGGAAGATAGCCTTGAAAGTTAGGCCATTTATTGCCTTGAGACAAAATTGTTCAAATTCTTCTGTCTTCCCCTCACCTTATCAACAACTGAACTCTGTGAACCCGGCTCAGAGAGAAAGAATCACCACAACATGAAGGAGATACTCATGGCCACTCTTATAGCTTAGTTGGAGCTAGAAATAAGTAGGTCTTAATGTTGGGGAAACCAAAGAAATGCCAGCTCTTTTTCTGCCTTGGAAAAATTGGAAAGAGCGTAGAGGGAGACGTGAGAGAAGTCAGGGCAGTCAACAGTAAGGCCTGTTCCTGGCTTCTGCTCTCTGAGCCTTGGCCTGTAGGAAGGAGTGGGGGTGTTAAAGACATTGAGGGGAGCATCAAGGGCAAAGTTAATTTCCCTCAGTTCTCATGTTGGATTCGAGGAGCAGCGGTCAAAATGCATGGTCACACAGACAGAGGGTTTGATGGGCACTCGTGAACTAACCCCAGTTCCTGCATTGAATTGAGAGCCAGCCATGAGGCACACTGTGCTGGGACAAGCTGATCTAGTCGCAGAGGATGGGATGATCTACCTGTCCAGGTACGGGATGGAGAAGTCACAGAAACCCTAGGGTCTGCCTCCTGTGAGAACTAAAAGACAGTGGAGTAAGCAAGAGAGAGATGGCTTATCTTTCTTGGGAGCACATACAAGCCAAAAGAATGCATCATAAGTTCACTGGTCATGTACTCATATAGCAACTTGGAAGGCCACCATAGCACCAAGAAAGCCAAAAGCCAGGTGTAGCCAGGCCATCACTTGAGAGGCCAATCAAGAATGAGTCAGTACAGAGAGCCAGCATGCAGCTAACCAGCTCACCTTTGCACAGGCCACCATGACATATAAATTCCCCTCCCACTTGGATGCCATCTTGGGGAAAGAAGTAGGAATCGGTGAAAGCAACCTTCAGAGGCTGATTGTTTTTATTCAAAGGACACTATTTCCTAGAGAAACATTTGAAATTATTGTATCAGACTCGACTCAGTGTAAGGGCTTGGTAGAAAAATCAAATTAGCTATTATTTGATGAGCACTTAATTACGGAAAACTTAGGGCTATATTCTCTCCACTTAGCTGAATTGTACTGTATGCAAAAGTTTGCAAACAGCCAGTATAGTATGAGCTCTACCTTCTAATCTGCTGCTTTCCCAGGACACTGGTAATATGTCCAATTATTATCTTCCTTTCACACTGGAAGAGTGTGTACACACCTTGGAACACCAGTTTTAAAAGCAGATCTAGAACTGAGAAGTCTTGATGCAGGATGCTTTACTGATAAGACCAATGAATCTCAATAGCTTAAAAAGAGTAAAATGCAGATCATGGAGTGGAAGACCCTACAAACAACTTGACTACCATTTTATTTCTGTCTTCTTTGTAAAATAAAATTATATTTAGCTGGAAAAGTTTCAACAGATATGGTAAAGTGTCCTAACAGTATTCAAATCTCCTTGCCAATAAAAAATGCCTTCCAGGCTGGCTGAGTGGCGCGATGGTTAAGAACTGGCTTGGGATGCCAGAGTGCCCTGGTTCGGATCCCACATATGAGGGCCAGTGACGCTGCCCTCTGCAGCTAAGATGCTGAACAACAGCTCAACCTGGAGCTGGGCTGCTGT